TTCCTTCACACTGCCTATGGTGTTCCCTCAATAAAGCAGAGAGAACATGATAGTAGGTCCTATGAATTTGATATGCATCCTCCTTTACTCATCCTGTCATCCAGCTGCATTTTTACTGGAAAAAACCCATCACAGCATTTCAGGGAGAAGTTGTGAGACTGCTCATTAAGTGGGTCTAGCTCTTCATACAATAATGGAAATGCTACAAAGAGTGACTTCCTACTCACTTACCCTGTGCTCAGATTGACATATTTGTCAGGCATATTCTTCATTTACCTTAAAGGAGAGTTTAATGTCCATCTTGGTTCTGCCCCTGAATCATCTTTTTCAGAACCCATATTCTATATGGGGAAATAATGTAAATCTTGTATAAATACTAAGGTGTGAACCCTGGATTTCTTAAGTTTCTTCTAAGTCCTAGAGGAAGGATTCGAATAGAATAATGTTACATTTACAGGATCTAGTTTGATTTTTCTTTCTGTCCAATCTCATCTGAATTTCATCTGTCCCATGTGGTCCAGAAGCCCAAAGAACAAACTGTCTGGATGTGGTGATAGGGAATGTAGTTAAAGTTGCCAATAGGGAATTGTCCATATACCATAATCCAAACACTTAGTATAGTGTCATGCCCCCATGGATGCTCAATACTAACCTACAATGAGCAGAAGCCACTGCTGCATTCCCTGCATTGAGAAAACAGGCCACTCTGTGCCAACAACCCTTTATTTACCCAAATGGCAAGGAAGATGGATTATCTGTGGTCAGTGGAGCTACCAATCTATACATGTCTATATACACACACTCACCCACACACATTCAGTCTGTATACAATTAAAAGCAGCTCTTCAAACACAAGTGTAATTACTGGTCTTATAACCAAATTGAATTAATTGCTCTTATGTTCACAGTAGTATGATGAACCCTGTACAGCACAAGTTAAACAGAACCTGTCTTTGCCCTTACAGTCTAAGACAGATGACAATGACAAGGACAAATAAGTACACGTGTATAGTTGCAACAGTTTTAGGGACATCTAGAAAGCTGGGTAGTAACATTATCCATAAATGTTATGATCCAGTGCATTAGAGTTTGGTATAAGAAAAATCTGGAGGCCGGGCGCGGTGGCTCATGCCTATAATCCTAGCACTCTGGGAGGCCGAGGCGGGCGGATTGCTTGAGGTCAGGAGTTCGAAACCAGCCTGAGCAAGAGTGAGACCCCGTCTCTACTATAAATAAAAAGAAATTAATTGGCCAACTAAAAATATGTATACAAAAAATTAGCCGGGCATGGTGGCACATGCCTGTAGTCCCAGCTACTCGGGAGGCTGAGGCAGTAGGATCACTTGAGCCCAGGAGATTGAGGTTGCTGTGAGCTAGGCTGATGTCACGGCACTCACTCTGGCCTGGGCAATAAAGTGAGACTCTGTCTCAAAAAAAAAAAAAAAAGAAAAAAAAAATCTGGGAGGTATTCTCTTTATTCAGGAAGGCTTCATGAAGCAGGAAGTATTAAAAGGAGGGAAAGTTACTGGGTAAATTAGGGTAGGATGAACTTTCCAAAACTAGTTGCAAAATTAAGTGTTGGGTAGGTCACAGAAAATGGGGAAGCAAGTTGTTTTGTATAAATGGAGCAAACAGCAAAGGACAGACTGTAAGGATTGTTAGATAAAGCTTGGAGCAGCACAAAACTTGAGGACAGTATCGTATGAGCTTTGCAGTAAACAGAAAATCTAGCTGAAACACGGAGTGCCAGAGGTAGACCACAAGGGGGGACACCCATCATTGAGAGTAAATAAGGTACTGTGCTGTACTTATTGATAAGGAAATAGCTAGCTGGCCCCAGGGGGAATGAGCAGTTTTAGGGGACTAGCTCCTATGGGAGACAAAGGTCAGAAACAGTATCTATTAAAGATATTTTGGTGGGCAGGTCAGTGTAAAGATGAACATGGCCAGATGTCCAAGACATGGGATAAGAAGCTGTTTCACATTCATATTTAATTAGAATCCTGTGGCTGGAATGAGATCTGAGAGAGGAGAGAGACAGAATATTCGATAATAGTTTACTGTGTTAGATGAGAGATTAATTAGGGTTCTGGTGTTGAGGGAAAATGGTATCTCAATTATGTTGCCTAAGCAGACAGGAAGGTACAAGAAACACCAGTCTAAAAGCAAAGCCTCAGGATCTGAGGCTTTGTAGGAAGTGTGCTGTAATGTCAAATAAGAGATTATTATCTTTAGTATATCTATATATAGTCTGTGGGAAAAAAGCATTGGTTGTGATATCAACAGATATGAGTTGTGGTTCCAGATATCTTGTGTGGACGTCAACCTGCCTATATTTCCCTTTCTGTAAAGCAGAATAATGTTTACACCTAATCTGCCTCTCAGGGATACCATGTTAATAAAAATTACATCTATAAAGTGCCTGGTGTTTCTTCAAGTGTTTTATATATATATATATGCAAATTATGATCATGTTGGTGGTAGGAAAAGATAAATCTTTACCTGCTTGCTTTGGCTCCCTGTGTGAGATTAGTAGAAGTATGCCTGTCTAAATCTTTATGTTCTAGGCAGAGGAACAAATTAGAATATAGTAAAAGAAATGAGAATAAAAGTCCTTCCTTGGTATCTGTATACATATCCACAATCCATCAGGACCCGTGATAATGACATGGAGAGCAAGTCTTATCCTAAAAGACCCAAGACCAACCCCCTCAACCTCCAGATGAAAAGAATGTGCAAAGGGAATAGGGTGAGGGCAAACTCTCTTACCAGGTGAAGACCCAGTTCACTCAAACTAGTTCACAAACCATTAAGTGCTGCCCAACCTGTCATTCCTGAGGATGGAAGAAGAAATAAGTCTTAAAACATTCTAAAAATGAGAAACCAAGCCCACTGTTGGGGGAGCAAGAGGATCTATGCACCCCTAACCTAATAAAGTCATCAATAAATCCTCTGTGGATAAGGGGGCAGGATGTGCAGCAAAGGAAGCAAAAAATACATGTATTAGTAGAAGCCAGATAGTCCAGTCTATTATCAGATGCTTCCTTAGTGCTGTTAACTTATTCTTTATTTTTGCCATACTATCATTCTTCTTTTTACTGTTTGTTCTCTACTGCCAATTCCATAGAACTTAACATTTATGCGTGTTCTCTGTTTTGCTGCCATTTCCCAAGTATTGTAATCTGATGTAGAGGTTGAGTCTTATCAACTTTGCGCCACGTGTGGTGGCTAATGCCTATAATCCTAGCACTTTGGGAGGCTGAGGCAGGCAGATGAGGCCAGGAGTTCAGGACCAGCCTAAGCAACACAGTGAGACTCTGTCTCTACAAAAAATAGAAAAAAAAAAAAAAAAATTAGCCAGGTGTGGTGGTGTGCTCCTGTAGTCCTAACTACTCATGAGGCTGAAGCAAGAGAAGGAGATCACTTCAGCCCAGGAGTCTTTGGATGCAGTGAGCTATAATGACGCCACTTCACTCTAGCCTGGGCAACAGGGCGAGACCCTGTCTCAAAAAAAACCTTTGTATAGGTACTTTGTATCGCTGTTTTCATGGTGACCAGGGAAAAGAGAAGATGAGGTACGAATATAAAGATGGATCAGTTCTCTCCCTGTTATTTAATTCAAAATCTAAAATGAAGACTTTACTCCTATACACTCAAATAGCTATCTAAGCCTGGATGTGGTTTTTCATAAATGCTCTTTATTAGTAAATCCACATACTTTAAATTCTGGAACCTCAAACAGGATAATTTATACCCTTCACACTTTCTTGCCCCCATGTAAGTCTAGTATGACTTTTTTTTTTTTTTTTGAGACAGAGTCTCACTTTGTTGCCCAGGCTAGAGTGAGTGCTGCGGCGTCAGCCTAGCTCACAGCAACCTCAAACTCCTGGGCTCAAGCAATCCTGCTGCCTCAGCCTCCCGAGTAGCTGGGACTACAGACATGTGCCACCATGCCCAGCTAATTTTTTCTATATATATTTTTAGTTGGTCGATGAATTTTTCTATTTTTGGTAGAGACGGGGTCTCACTCAGGCTGGTTTCGAACTCCTGACCTTGAGGGATCCTCCCGCCTCGGCCTCCCAGAGTGCTAGGATTACAGGCGTGAGCCACCATGCCCAGCCTAGTATGACTTTTATACTGTGAAAAGAACTTCATAATAAAGCTTATACATTAAAATCACTCACCCTATCAGCTTTGGTATATATTAAAAAATGGACCATATAATTATTTGTAACCACATTTTTCACTGAATATATCTTGAATATTTTCATGATTTTCATTTCATTTCCATGAAATTAAATGTTGTTCAACATTTTTAGTGGCTGTAATATATCCACATCTTATGGATAAACCATAACATTTTTACTATTGAGTGGGTAGGGGTAGAGTAGGGGTCCTCAAACTTTTTAAACGGGGCCAGTTCACTGTCCCTCAGACCATTGGAGGGCTGGATTATAGTTTAAAAAAAACTATGAACAAATTCCTAAGCACACTGCACATATCTTATTTTGAAGTAAAAAAACAAACGGGCAAAAACACCTGCATGTGGCCTGCGGGCCGTAGTGTGAGGACACCTGGGGTAGAGCATAATATAATGCTATGCAAGGTTAAAAACCTAAGAGTTCCCTCTACCCTGTTTCCTAAAACAAAGTCTGAGTGGAAAAAACTTAAAACTGTTTTTTCTCTGCTCTCACAGAAGACTCCTGTGACCAAATGTGTGTGGAGTTTTCCCCACACACCAAGTAAGCAAGCAGTTTTGCAGCACATACCAGCTGGGTGTGCTCCAATTCAATCCTGGCACCACCTCTTTGGAGACAGCATTAGATCCCACAGGTAGAGGGCTCAGTCCCACAAGATGGCTCCCCACTTCCAATGCCAATCATAAGCCCCACATGGTTTTACTTGGGCTTCTGACCAATGGGCCATATATCAGAGTTTCTCCACCCCCTTCCAGGGTTTGATTAAATTGCCAGTGTAGCTCACAGAACTCAGGGAAACACTTAGATTTACTAGTTTATTATAAAGGACAGTACAAAGGATACAGATGTAGAGATGCATAGGGCAAGGTATGGGGGCAGGAGAAGCTTCCATGCCCTCTATCGGTACACCACCCTCCAGGAACCCCCACATGTTCCACTACCTACAAGCACTCTGAAATATGTCCTTTTGAGTTTTATGGAAGCTTCATTATGTAGGCATGATTGATTAAACTACTGGTGATCAACTTAACCTTCAGCCCCTCTCCCTTCCTGGGAGATCACCAATCATGTCTTGGTCTTTCTGGTGACCAGCCCCCAGCTACCTAGAGGCTGCCTGTCTTCAGTCAATTATTAGCATACAAAAACACATCACTTTGGAGATTCTAATTATTTTAGGACTTGTATGCCAGGAAACAGGGTCAAAGACCAAATATATATTTTAAAATATCACAAAAAGACAGATAGAAAAACCCTTAGTAATTTAAATTATGGGTGTCATCAGCCTTAAATTACTCTAATACTAGGGGAAAACATACATTTTAAGCAATTCAAGCATACCCTAGTATCTAATAAATTATTTTTCTTACTGTTCAGAACTGATCTTAGTTAGTCCCTTGTCCTCAGCTGAGTGGCCATGGGACATGTGGGAGTTTATATAAGGCTGTGCCATTGGTCCGTCATGTAGGGGTGGGGTTACAAGAGACCCAAAGACCCTATTTACCACGATGTTTCACTACTAGTGGGATCTTTTGGAATGAGGAGAAAGTGAGTACTGGGGTGGGAATCCTGGTAGCTTCCACAAAGAAAAAGTGATAGAAGCTGTTTTAGAAATGAAACCTGCAGCAGTTTCTATCTCTCTCACCCCTTGTCCAGCTATTCTGTCACTCCTTTTATTCCTAAATTGGTGCAATGACTTCAATCCCTTTCAAATACTGATGGGACATTCATGAGAAGGGCAAAGCCAGATTTTAGCAGCTAGCTTTATCTGTCACTAGAGTCACTCAAAGTAGATTAACCCTGACTACTGGGCCCTCACACAGATCCATGGGGTGCATTGTGGCCTGCTGTCAATAGTCCTGGGGAATACTTTTAAAAAGTTAAAGTGAAGGGAATATGATTAAAATAAGCACAAAAAAAAAAAATAAAGCTATTGTCATGAGCTAGAAAGCTTAATGGTCTTGGCAGCAATCTGTTTTCCCCTTTCTTTACCTTAAACTAGTAATTCCAAAGCTTTTCCGGGTGAGAAACTACTTTGATTTCCCTGATGTTTTATGATCACTAATGGGGAGGGACTGCTAATTTAACAGGGAGTTTGGTTAGCAACAACACTCAAGTTCCTTCCAGTAAGCAGCACGGAGGTAAGCTATGTTAAGACCTCAGCCTGCTAGGCAGTTTAAGAAATTTTTCCTAAACACCCACCATGTACTTGATTGTTATGCTTCCAAGGGAGCAGTGGACAGATTACTAAGTGGGATATGGCAGGAAGATCTTGGTTGCAACACATAGTCAAAAGTAGTTAACCTCATTACAGCTTAAAAATGTAACACTTTGGGCTTCAGATGATTCCACTTCTTCCTCAGTTCAGATCTGGTACTGTCAGAAGCAAAGATGTAGTTGATGGATTCATAAGACAGATCCCACACCTGAGACTGGGTCAAATTAAATGTTTCAGCTGCCAGCTGGTACTCTTGAGAAAGGAGTGTTGCAAAAACACCCTTATCATCAGTCTGCCAATGTAAATAAGAACGTTTCAAAATGAAAAAGGAAATGATTTTTCAAAAACCAATAACTATTTTGGTTAGAGTCTATTTTCTGATTTATCATGCTTGTTTCAACAGTCTGAACAGGGGCATACAAATGCATTTATGCATATCTGTAAATAAACAGACTTCTTTATACTTAAAAGAAAAAAACAAGAGCAGTGTTTCAACTGTGGCTGCATATTAAAATCACCTAAGCAGCTTTTAAAGCATATCCATGTCAAGGACTCACCCCACATCAAATAAAGCAGAATCTCATGGAATGGTATTTTTTCTTTTCTTTTAAGTTCCCTCGGGTACTGTCCAGGACCTTTTCCCATGGAGCCAAACCATTCACCCTGGCCCCTGCAGCCTCTCATGCCCCAATCCCTTCTAGTTCTTCTACTTGGGTATCACCCTCAGACATGCAAGGCAGTCAGCATGGTGGTGAATGCCTGACCTAATGTAACTCAGGAACTAAAAGGGAGCAAAATGTTTCACACAAAACACCTTACACAGATCACAGAAGGATGGGCAATGCTGTACCAGAATCCAAAATGATGCTGGTCGTAAGATGGAACTGTCTGACTTTTGATGTTTGAGGTCAAACAGAGTTCTAGATGAAAAGGGAAAAAAGTCTCTCATTAAAGGCAGATAAATGAACTCATTCAGTGTTCACCAAGTAGACATGTGAGAAATCTTTCTGAACTATGCTACTTTGCAGCAGTTTATTATTTTACAAAATTGACCTTATGTGTGAAACTTTGTAGTTCAATTAGTATAGCTGAGCAGGAAATATGTACTGCAAATTATGGCAGCAACTGTACTACACAAGGAATTAATATCCCCTTCACAACTGTGTGCTTCTTTTTCTTTTACCAAAATGAGGAGGAAAGAGATGTTATAAGCCAGTCATAAGAAACAAGGCAGGGAATTATCAGGACAGAGGAGAAGGGTGTTTTGAAGGGCTACTGAATTCCTCCTAGTCTTACAGTGAAGGCCAAAAACAAGGCAAGGAAACTGTAGCAGTGCTTGAGAGAGCATTATAAAGAGGTAAGAGTGGGCATGGACTTTTCCTATGGCTTCTAAGAACCCCTCAACACTTTAACCCAGACAACTAACTAACAATTCCCTGCTCACTGCTTCTAGGTAAGTTAAGTCCAACTTAAGAAAACTTTTCACTTGGGGAAGGCAGCCTCAACACCAGGTCACTCAGTCCAAGGATGACAAGCCCAAACTGCCCCCTCACTCTACTGGAGCAGAGCTGGGCCACAATATTACCGAGTAAGGTCACTATGCAAGTGGTTTCCATTTTCTCGACTTTTGTGGATATTTTTAAATTTCCTTAGTAAAAAGAAAAAAAACCTCACCCATTATGAGTTGCTGTAAACTCTATAAATAGTTAAAAAACACACAGAGAAGAATTTTTGTAAATTGGTAAATCTGTAAATTTAGCAAATTGATCATTCTGTAAAATGGTTTTCAGCCAATCACTTCTTTCTCTATTTGGAAAGATCTTCCCTGACCGTTTAATTCAAAGTGGTTATCTAATCACTATTGTATCAGCCTATTTAATTTTCTCCTTTGATCTTAACATGATATTTTGTTATATATTTGTTTATTGTTTATTGTCTCCCCTCTGCTAGAATATCAGTTTCTTGAGAAAGAAATCTTGTCAATTTTGTATACTGCTCTATTCCTAGCAATTAGAGCAGTGACTGCAACAAAGTAGGCACTTCATGAACATGTAAGACAAGTGTATAATAGTCAAAAGACAAGTAAAAACATACTTGGATTTTTCCATAATTTCTTAATTTTTAAACAAATGTTACATATTTTCTTAACACATGTCAATTTCACTAAAGTCATTTCAAAATTCTAGATGACCCTTTTTCTTTCAAAAAATATACTGGGTACAGTGGCTCATGCCTGTAATCCCAGAACTTTGGAAGGACAAGGCTGGAGGACTGCTTGAGGCCAGGAGTTTGAGACCAGCCTAGGCAACATAGCAAGACCCTGTCTCCACAAAAACATTAAAAAAATTAACCAGCGTGGTGGTGCATGCCTGTAGTCCTAGCTACTCAGGAGGCTGAGGCAGCACGTTCGCTGGAGCCCAGGAGTTGAGGTTGCAGTGAGCTATGATTGCACCACTGCACTCCATCCTGGGCAACAGAGCAAGATCCTATGTTAGAAAAGCGAAACAAACAAACAAACAAACAAACAAAAAAACCCAACCTTACTCAGTCCCGAGAACTGGGGAGTGTAGCAGTGAACGAGATAGGCAGAGGCCCTGCTCTCATGGAGCCTGTATTTTAATGGAAGCTAAAACTTTGTTACTTAAATGAGGCTCAGAAAGCACATGTGTCATGCATCTTTTAATTTCTAAATGGCATGTGTAGTTTGAGAACAGCACTTCTCTACATATAGGCTGCAACCTGGGGTTGGAGAAGGAAGGGCCAGAGGGTTGTCTGAGAGACCTGAAACCTTAAGCCTTACCCAGTGGTATACGGTGCTGCCTCACAAAGTCCACCAGATCCAGGGATCCTCCCTCACAGGAGTTGAGAAATGTTCCATGCCCGATTCTGTCAGGAAGCAGATCCAGGAGCATTTGTGTTTCTTTTTTTTGGTTTGGAATCTTAACAAAAGGAGGAAAGGGGATTAATGATTTCTTTCAGTGGTTCTTAAATATGTTTTTCCTATAGCTAATTTTTTTTATCTGCCCCTCTGAGTAGTCAATGTAGACATTTAGGAAAGCTGAACTACTTATACCTTCCTAGCTCTCTTCTTTGCTTTTTACCTTCTCATTTGTTCCCCAACATTCTGCCAGATTCATTTCAATGATAATAATAAACAACTACTAAGAACCTACTTTGTACCTTTTTGTTAATGCCCCACAAATATTACAAAGTGCTAAGATGAAGAAATTAAAGCTTAGAAAAATTAAATAATTTTCCAAAACCAAAATGCCACACCCTGTATGTGTGCTCTATATTGTGTATATGTGTTCATATATATTAGAAAAAGTTCTGAAAAATGTAAACACATTAACTCTAGGGAACAGAACTGAAATAAAAAGGAAACTTTTTGCATTAATTTTCTTCCTTATACTTCTCTACACTTGGATTTTCTTCAGGTACCTATATAACTTTTATAGTTAAAAATATAAAGCATTTAAAAAAATTGTCCAAGGTCATAGAGCTAGTGAAAAGTAGAAATAAAGGGTGAAACCTAACTCTGTCTGACTTCAGGGCCCAGACTCTTTCCACACAGTATGCTCATGTTTTATTTTGACAAGTCTCACTACATACACACCACAATCACCATAAAATGTCTAGCTCTGCTCTTTATCTCCTAGATAGCCCAAAACACAAATGATCAGAACATTTTGAAATGAAATTTTTATATCTAATGAATCAAATAAAAAAAAAAGCAACAGAAACTAAAGTAAAAAGCAGGTTCTCGTGCTCTGCACAAGGCCAGAGGTAACTGGTCACAGCCACATACGCTGTTCCTTTATATCAAGCAACAGTTTTTATCACGTACCAGTTAAGTATGGTGTCCTATGAGTTTTTTTGATCAGAGTATGGAAACATGGATTCTAGATTTTAAGCTCTGCCACTAGTTAAGTTCTGCCACTGACCCTCTGCTTGCAGACTTGAAATATACAAGTACTGGCAAGAGGTTCCAATCTTTTTATTTTTATTTTTTTTTAATAGGGTCTCGCTCTGTCACCCGGGCTAAAGTACAGGGCATAATCATAGCTCACTACAACCTCAAACTCCTGTGATCAAGTGACCCTCCTGCCTCAGCCTCCCAAGTAGCTGGGACTACAGGTATGCCACACCATGCCTGGCTAATTTTTTATAGAGACAGGCTCTTGCTATGTTTGCTTAGGCTGCTCTTTGAACTCCTGGTTTCAAGCAATCCTCCTACCTCCACCTCCCAAAGTGCTAGGATTACAGGTGTGAACCACCACATTCAGCCAAGAGGTTCCAATTTTTCCTTAATCTTTAAATCATTATGCTACTCAATCTTTATACATTACCCTTTTAATACAATAACTTTGTGAGGTAAGTAGACTAAGTATTACTTCCTGCATTAAGAAACAACAGGTAGAAGTACTGAAGTAGAAAGTAAATCCATCTATAAAATGGAGAAGAGTGCAGTAGAATCCCTTGTTTTACTCACAGGGATGTGCTTAAGAAAATAACTGTTTTCCAGCCATACTTGTCACTGTTTTTAATGATATAGCTGGAATTTGAGTCAAAAGCCACTGCCAGGAAACACAAAAAGATAAAAACAGTAAAACACTAGAGAATAAAGTAAATCAAGCCTTTATCATTTTAATTTATATTTAAAAATATTTTTACTATCCCCTTTAAAAATGTTTTTTCTTTTTTTGATACCTTCAGAACCCACAAGTACAAAGGTCTAGAAAGTATCTTAAAAATGTTTTTTCAGACATAGGGAGCAAGATGGCGGACGAGAAACACCGCCAGGCAGAGTGTCTCTGCAGAAAAGACAGATTTTAGCAGATATTAGAAAAAGAAGCAAGAAGACGAGCATACAGCGGACGAGGGCCGGAAGGAGGGGTACCTGAGACCCCAGGAGACTCCACGGGAGGAGGCTGCGGAGGAGAACTGGAGGCTAAGACCACCGGGAGCAGCCTGGAGACCAGCGGCAAGGGTAGGTGGATTTGCTGTTTCCCCTCGCCTGCATTTGGGACTGCTGGTGGGCTCCCCAGCGGGTGGAGAGAACTGCGGACACCAGCCCAGAGACGGCCGCTGCCAGCCAGCGGTGAGCCTGTAGCGGTCGCGGCACCAGGCTCCCAACTCCCTCCCGGCACCTCCGTGTGCACAGACCCGAGCCGCGCAGCAGGCGCCATATTGCCTCCTCCTCCCCTCCCCTGACCCTACCCGGCCCCAGAGAGACAATACAGCCACCAGCCGGAGGCACCTCCAGGGAACGACCTTCCCTTTTGGGACCCTACAGCTGACTCAGGGGAACTCAGACTGTGAGCTCCCTACCCGCCAGCTCTCCCAGGTGCTCTGCACGGTATTCCCAGGAGAACGTGCAGACTCAGAGGCTGAGAGACAACAGACCCAGCTTGGGCTCCCTGTGGGTGGATTGGGACCGGAAATCCTCTCCCTGGTGGGGATACAGTTTGAACTCTGGGACCCAGAGGTCGACCTGCAGACCAGATCCCATGCCACCGAGGTCAGCATTGCCTGGGGCACAGAAGGGATTACGTGAACAGCCTACTGAGGTGTGTGTGCCTTCAGGGGCAGATCAGCCTCCTAGAGGGCAACCTTCCCCCCAAAAGAGGCCGTGCGCCCAGCCCAGGTGGCGTTCCTGGCAGGGACCTCCCCGCTGGCATCACAGTCCGGGGAGGCCTGGTGGTGTGTGGTCTGGCCTGCTGGCAGAGGCCCAGGAGTAGCTACGGAGTTGGGGAGGGTTTTCCACCCTCCCCAAGTGAGGCCTGCTTCAGACTGTGGGTCTCAGACAGCCCACCCCACACCCAGACTTTCTGGCTGAGCCGACATTCTAGCCCCCTGACAGCTTTTCCTGGAAGCAGAGAACAGAACTTTGACCCTGCTGAACAGCATTGGTGTGCCTGAGGGCAGTTGTGCCAACCCAGCTCCCCGCCAGAACAAGAGCAATAACAGGACCACAAAATCAACAGTATAGCCCTGTTCCTCCAGCAGCCCACCTACTGACAGGGACTGGCATCCTGCCACAGCTTTCACGGCACCCCATGGACTCAATTATAGGAGTGGTCGAATCTCACCCACAGACACACTAACATCCTCAAAACTAAAAAAAGGTGGTGAATACCCAAACAAAAACCTAAAGGAAAGAAACAACAATGATCGATGGGAAGAAATCAGCGAGAAAACTCAGGAAATATGAAGACACCAAACGAAAACACACCCCAAAGAGGAGCACGAGCCCCTAGAAACGGACACCAACCAAAATCAGCACCATATGACAGAAGGGAATTTCGCCCCTGTGGAATCATAAGAAACACTCCACCGAGTTCAACACAAACTCAATAACTAACACAAAGAAACCACAAAAAGCCTCCAAGGAATCTGGAAAAAGAATTAGACACATGAAGAAAAGTTAACCAATCCTGGAAATGAAGAAATCAATTCAAGAACTACAAAATAAGTGGAAAGTCTCAAGAACAGGGTAGATCAAACAGAAGAAAGAATCTCAGAGCTTGAAGTACACTCAGTGTTGACACCCTCCAATTAAATAAATCATCCTCAGAAAAGAGCGAGAAATATAAAGAAAAGAGCAAAGCCTACAAGAGCTGTGGCATTATGTGAAGAAACTAATGTAGAGGTAATACGTGGTACCAGAAGGGAAGAAGCAACACATCAAAGGGTTGGACAAGCTGTTTAAAGATATAATAGAGAAATTCACCAAGGCCTTGCTCAAAATCTTGATATACAAAAGTTCCAAGAAGCCTCCAGAGGACCCCTGGGAAATTCAATGCAAACAGAAGACGTCACGACATGGCAGTCATCAGACGACCAAAAGTATCAACTAAAGAGGCCCTTCTAAGAGCTGTAAAACAAAAGAAGCAAGTAACATACAAGAAGAGGAAAGCCAATTCAATAACACCAGACTTCTCTAAGAGCACTTTACAAGCAAGGAGAGACCGGGCGCCCATTCTCACTTTTCTGAAACAAAACAATGCCCAGCCTAGAAATTATTCCCTGCAAAATTAAGCTTCGTATATGAAGGAAAATAAAGAATTCTCAGACAATCAAAGGCGTCAGAGAATTCACCAAGACAAGACCAGCGCCTACATAGAAGTACTTAAAAAGCGTTGCCACGGAACATCATAATAATAACCCACGAATATAAATATCAACCAAAACAGAAGGATATAAAGCGCCAGATATTACAAATGGTCAAGACAGAAATCATACAACAACATCCAACCAACAGAATGAACAGTAATCTACCTTACCTATCAAGTTCTCAATAAATGTGAATGGCTTTTAAATTCCACTCAAAGAGACAGTAGGCTGGCTGAATGGATAAGATAAAAATACAGCCAAGTATATGCTGTCTTCAGGAAACACATCTAACCTGCAAGATGCATATAGACTAAAAATAAAAGGGTGGAGATCAATATTCCAAGCAAATAGAAACCAAAAGAAGGCTGGTGTGGCAGTTCTAATTTCAGACGATTTAGTTTTAAACCAACAAAAGTAGTGAAAGACAAAGAGGTCATTATATAATGGTGAAGGGCACAGTTCAACAAGAAGAGATAACAATTTAAATATATATGCACCAACTTAGGTGCACCCAGATTCATAAAGCAAACCTTACTGGAGTTAAGCAAATGGATTAATAGCAACTCCATAATCACCAGAGATTTCAACACCCCACTGACAGGCACGAGACAGATCCTCCAACAGAAAATTAATAAAGAAATAATGGACTTAAACAAAACTCTAGAACAATTGGTCTGACTGACATTTACAGAACATTCTACCCAAAATCCACTGATATACGTTTTCTTTCAGCAGCACTGGGACATTCCTAAGATGGACCATATCCTAGGACACAAAGTAAACCTCAAGGAATTTAAAAAAATAGAAATCATACCATGTATCT